CCATAATCGCCCCAACCATGACTGCCGGCCACCAATACTACCCAAGCTTTGCCACCAAATGGTTGTTGGGGCTCAAAGTGCACGGCACTGATCATTGCTATGCATAGTGCCAGCGATACAACACATAAACTTTTCATTATGATTAAAATTTTTGTTATTGTATAAATCAAGCAAAATTTAATACTATAATTAACTAAACTAATCCTAAAGAATTGTGGTTTTTATAACAAAATCTTACTACAACTTAGACACTAAAGCCAACTAAGTAATTAGTACAATTATATTAGGAACAAATAAATTCTTGATAACATTATAAAGAATTTATTTTTTAATTTAAAGTGGTATGATAAAATAGAAATTCTTGGAATTATATGTAATATTTTTTATCGACAGCTAATGTCATTGTTACTTTACCTATTGGCAATTTTTTTAATGCAAACTGTTCTTTTAATCTATTAGTTTACAACTATATTATATAATTGTATTTTAGATTTATAATTTTTGTTAATAGATATTAGTGTACTATTGTTGTTAGTGAATATTTATATACTGTATACTTTACATTATTTTACTTATATGTGTTTGTGAATTGAGAGAGAGAGAGAGAGAGAGAGAGAGAGAGAGACTTGGTTTTATTTATAATATGTAATAATTTAATAACATTATAATAATTGCAATTTAACTAATTATTGTTAATTAAACGATAAATATTATATAAAATAGAAAATAGTATTAATTTTGTAATCGATAATAAACTAATTACAATTTTTAGTTAATGAAAAGTGTAAAACTAAAATATTTACACAATAAAATTTAATTGTTAACAGTAATTGTTAATACCTTAAAAATCGTGTTTTGCACACAATACATTAAATTTAATTGACATAAATTTTTAATAAAAATGGTATGATATGACTAGCTTGTAAGTCAATGGATCATCTATCACATTAAATTAAATAGTAATATAAACTAAAATAGATTTACATTTATTTAATACTAATTTAATCTATAATATACTTATGGTATATTTAATCATTATTAATGATTCATTAATAGATAATTAACCTTTGTTATTACAAACATCACATCACATTACTTTCATTATCACTAATAATGGCTAGAATACGTTTCCATCCTGGTAAATTTACCAACATTTTCCTGGCGCGGGCCGACACGTTATACACGAGTCGGGGCGCAGAGAAACCGCAATACCCGGTTATAACTGACACAGTATACGCGCCCATATTCACCATGTACATCCAATCGCCCACGGTCATTTCAGGCAAGATAACATCACGCCTGATTAAGTCCATACTATCGCACGTTGGTCCAGCGAGGTGAGATAGATACCTCGGTTCATTTCTATGATGGTTTATTAGTACAGGTTCAGGCACCACGTGATCGTAGAGAATGCAATCGATGAATGATCCGTATACGCCCTCGTTTAAATAGTATGTCATTTCTGTGCGGGTACCTTGCTCAGTTTGATATTCATCAATTTGTTTAGCAATTACGCTGGTGACCAGGGTGAAGGCCGAGGCAACCTTAATAATAAATTGTATTTAGAATTTAGCCGTTGTAATTGTTTTAATTAATTTACATAATAACGGCCTAATTCAGATATGATGGTGAAATTGGTTGAGTTGCCATCTAAATCAATAACCGGGAAATGACGATCCAGTGCCTCGTTAACAGCATGTACCAGTATATCAAAACTTACCTCGTTAGCACCGGGCGATCCGGGAAAACCACCACCTGTAGCGTAAATAAAATATATTGAATAATAAATATAATTTAAATAAATTATGAAAATATAAGTTTATATTATTTTTAATATATTGATAAAAAAAACTTTCATAACCTTAATTTTAAAAAACTTACCAATATCTAAATAAGTCATTTTAAATCCCAGGGCTAGACCCGTGTCAAACACACTTCTGGCGCTGGCTATAGCCTGCGAATAGGCCTCTGCGCTCATACACCCACTGCCCACATGAAAACTACAGCCAACCACCTGTACGTCCAACTCTCTTGCCCTAAGCAACAGGCCGGGCATTTGATCTAGATGGGCGCCAAATTTACTGCCCAATGGACACCGGGCGTAACTGTCGTTCACCTTAATCCGTATGACCATCAGTGCCTCGGGGTATAGGCGCTGGACTTTGTCTAACTCATACTCGTTGTCAAAGGTCATGTGCCGCACTCCTACCGCCCGGGCGTGGCTTATGAACGAACTCGCTTTGCATGGGTTGGCGTATATGATGCGATTGGGCGCCACACCTATACCTAGAACTTGATCAATTTCACCCTGCAAAATTGTAATTTAAATTAAAATTTCTTCCACATTTTACATATTTATATACAGTATAACATCTCAATAAATTTAGCTAAATTTCGCTTTATTTGAATAATGTTGCATATAATTATAATAGCGCATATTCTAAACTATGTTAAATACGAACGTTGGAACATTATCAATAACATTAATAAATGTCTTGTATTCGTTTCACTTGTTTGGAAAAGTGATAATAACAAACTTCTTGATAATAACAAACTATTAAACACTGATCTATTAATTATAATAATATAACCGGTCAGAACTTAAAGGTGAGGCATTAACAAAAAAAATTATATTCTAGGTCATTTAAAAGCAATAGGTTAAGTACGTATTGTTTTCGAAACCAACCTTTGAGGCGCAATCAAAACCGCACCCGAGGTTCGCCAGAAGCTCGAGCACAATCGGCGTTGGGTTACATTTGACCGCGTAATACGGCTCAACCCGTGGTATTGAGCGCAGCCAAATGGCGTGCTTTTGCACCATGTCCTCTAAGTTTACTACGTAAAACGCCTGGTCACTCTCTTCATCGCCGCAAACATTTCTATTAATTTCTAAACGTACAATATTGGCTAGGTTAGTGTGCGATTGTTGCTTGGTCAAATCCTGTAGCTCCCATTGCACTGATGCTCGTTTTATTAAGTCATTTTTGTCAATGTTTATCATATTATTACTATTTATTATTAATTTAATTTAATATTAATTACTAAGTATTTAAATTTGTATTATCAATATAAGATGAGATGTAAACACTATTTATAATTAGTTATTGTCGTTATATTTTAATCAAAGTAACAGTTATAAAACTAACATTCAAATTTAAAAAATCATAATTATATAATAACGTTTAATGTTGTTTTGCAAAATAATTGATTAGATATTTGCACAATTAATAGTTAAGTGTAGACCTGACACTATTTTCCCCGTAAATTCCCCGTAATTATGTACAAACATTTTGCAATAAATTCTTTATTTTACAAAAATCAATTGAAAAAAGTTAATTTTGTATCAAAGGCTGCCGTCAAAACACACACATACACGAGAGCTCAAGTAGGCTTAAAAGCTAGACTGGCAACACTATGCTCCCATAGAAATACATTATAGCAATGCCCGCGAATGCCCAATTATGCCCACTCAGAGAACCCCTGCATATGTTTGAATATCACTAACAATACTACTGCCAAACATAGGAAGTGCTATTTAACGCAAAATATGAGAGAAGGGGGTGTAAAATAGGGAAAACCACAAAAAATATAACTACATGGAAATAACGGGGAATCCCCGGGGTTTCCCGTTAGTCTTTACGGGGAAGGGATTCCCCGTAATCCTAATTTACGGGGAACGGGGAAGGGAAATAAAAAAGTTGCAGGTCAATTAAGTGTTTGATTATTTTAATTATATTTTTTAGTATACTATAATAACGTTTTATAATTTCATAATTACATATAATTAAAGCTAAATAATGGATGTATTAAATGGTGTTTAAACGAATTTGTTGACTAAACAAATTTATCAGTTATTCATAAAGAAGGTTATTTTTAATGCAATATTTAATATATTGTTCAAAGAATAGATTGGCACAATCTAGAAATTTAATATTAGTCCCTTAGAATTTCACATAGGATTAGCATAAGTTATGATATATTAAGGCATTTTGCACATACATGTATGTAGAGTTTGTATAAAAATAAAAGTTATTTAATTTCAGCTCTACAATATTTAAATTGTTCAAAAAATTCAATTATTTATCAGATATTAATCTATACACTATAAATATTTATGTATATTTATATAATTAATCAATTGATACATAATTAACCTTTTTATCACAAGCATCACAATTACTTTTACTATCACTAATAATGGCTAGAATACGTTTCCAGCCTGGTAAACCTATCAATATTTTCCTGGCCCGGGCCGACATGTTATACACGAGTCGGGGCACAGAGAAACCGCAATACCCGGTTACAACTGACACTGTATACGCGCCCATATTCACCATGTACATCCAATCGCCCACGGTTATTTCAGGCAAAATAACATTGCGCCTGATTAGGTCAATATGATCGCATGTTGGTCCAGCGAGGTGAGATAGATACCTCGGTTCATTTACATGAGGATTTATTAGTACAGGTTCTGGTGCCACATGATCAAACCTGGTGCAAATGAACGACCCGTATACACCCTCGTTTAAATAGTATGTTATTTCTATGCGAGTACCTTGCTCAGTTTGATACTCATCAATTTGTTTAGCAATTACACTGGTGGCCAGTGTGAAAGCCGAGGCCACCTTAATGAAAAGTTTCATTTAGTGTTTTGTTTTTAGTCAGTTTAAATGTTTTAATAAGTTTACATAATAGCGGCCTAATTCCGAGATGATGGTCAAATTGGTTGAGTTGCCATTTAAGTCAATTACCGGAAAATGCAAATCCAATGACTCGTTAACAGCCCGCGCAAGTTCATCAAAACTGACCTCGGTCGCTCCAGGTGATCCTGGAAAACCGCCACCTGTATAATTAAACACAACATACATGATTAGTAAAACTTTAATATACAGTAGGTGTTAAATAATCTTGCCAATATCCAAATAAGTCATCTTAAATCCCAGGGCCAGTCCCGTGTCAAACACACTCCTGGCGCTGGCTATAGCCTGCGAATAGGCCTGTGCGCTCATACACCCACTGCCCACATGAAAACTACAGCCAATCACCTGTACGCCTAAGTCCTTTGCCTTGAGCAACAAGCTGGGCACTTGATCTAGATGTGCGCCAAATTTACTGCCCAACGGACACCGGGCATAACTGTCGTCCACCTTAATCCGTATGACCATAAGTGCCTCGGGGTATAAGCGCTGGACTTTGTCTAACTCATACTCGTTGTCAAAGGTCATGTACCGGACACCTACTGTTCGAGCGTGCCTTATAAACGAACCCGCTTTGCATGGGTTGGCGTATATAATGCGATGGGGTGCCACACCTATACCTAGAACTTGATCAATTTCACCCTGCAATATATTATTTATATTTACAATTAAAATCACTTATGATTTATAAGTTATGCATAAAGCACATAATAATAAGCAAATTTGTTGTAACCGTATTAAACACTTATAAACAGTAAGAATTGGACAGAATTTATACTTATTAAAAACTTACTGACAAATAAAATTTATATTTTAGAATATTTAAAGTCGATATTTCTACCCTGCTAAATGAGTGGTCTTTCAAAACAAACCTTTGAGGCGCAATCAAAACCGCACCCGAGGGTTGCCAGAAGCTCGAGCACAATTGGGGTTGGGTTACACTTGACAGCGTAATACGGTTTAACCCGTGGTATTGAGCGTAGCCAGCTGGCGTGTTTTCGCACCATGTTCTCCAAGTCCACCACGTAGAACGCCTGGTCACCCTTTTTATCACTCTTAACATGTCGATTGATTTCAAGACGTATAATATCGGCTATGTTATTTTGCAATTGCTGCTTGGTCAAATCCTGTAGCTCCCATTGCAATAATGTTTGTTTTAGTAAGTCATTTTGGTCGTTATTTATAATATTATTATTACAATTATTTAAATCTGTATCAGACATATCAGATGAGATGTGAACACTATTAATAATTATTTTTGTCATTATTTTTATTTAAGGAATGTAATAAGCTAAAAGTTATTTAATATCGATTAAAATGACTTTGTAAATTAAGTTATTAGATCATCAATATGTATTATTAGTACAAATGTAAGTTTTAGATTTCTTAATATAATAGCATTTTATAATTTTACTTTAGTGTATAGTTTAATAAAAACTTAAAACTAAACACTATTTCATCCAAAAATATACAATAATTTTATAAGATATAAATAGTATTATACAAAGAATGTCCTAAATATCACTAAATTTTGTATAGAAACAAATTACTAATATAACCAGATTAATTAAACTATTTGTTATCCAACGTACTGAATAGGCGATAATGTCTGTATATAATGACAAATGTAATACAACTATTTACTTTATTATCATTACAATAGTTCATACATAGAAATCTTTAATACAGACATTAACTGGAAGAATACATTTATTTATATTTAATATAAAGTACATTGTCCTTGGTAGGCACTTCATGCAATAAAAATTGCATTAACTTGACTTAATAACAAAAATATTTACCATTGTTTAAATAACATTTTCTAGTTTATAGACAGTTTAGTCAAAACACTTTATAAATTAATCATTAAAACAATTTTTTAATTGAAAACTTTAATCTAATGATATAATTAATGATAATTATAGCTGTTTTTAGAATCTAATAAAACAGCTTTGGGAAAAAATTCATTACCGTTTTTATTAATACAAATTTTATTATTAAAAATATTGAGCATAATTTTAAGTAAACAATAATTTTATTAATTAACTAAAATGTCATGAAAATACAACGTGTTTACATTTTACGATCGTACACTTGATTATTGTGAATTCATCATTTATATTTAACTTATAATTAATTTTACGCATAAAATATTTTAAAATTTTAAAATCAAAGCAAAGTTTACACTGAAGTTTTAAAATTCAATATAAACTGGAAATTTAACTTGAGATTGTGATTTAAGCGAGATTATATCTAAACAAAAATATTAATTCTAATTTCACTAACTTAAACTAATTTTATTACACTACTAACATACGAATTAATTATAATAAAAGCAAAAATAAACAGTTAAAATCAATCAAAAAACATCATGTTTAACCACGGGCCTCAATATGCAAATAAATGGACTGGGCCGCTTTGAAACGCAAGTGCTTAGTCAACGGCACCGGGACTTGTGTGCGCTCGCACGGGGCAAACTTAAACTGCCTCACAATACGAGCGATGGCCAACTTGACTACCATCAACGAAAACCTCTGCCCTATGCAAGCCCTGGGACCGCCACCAAAGGGCAGGTACGAGTAGGGGATAATATTAGCCTTATTCTCTGGCATAAACCGCTCCGGGTCAAACCTACTAGCCCTGGGCCAGTACTCATCCGACCGGTGCATGGCGTACACCATCAGCTCAATGGTCTGACCCTTGCGTATGGTTATGCCGGTGTCGCCGAGGGTATGTTCAGCGGCCGCGACACGGGTGGGGCGCAGGGCAGCCGAGTGGAGGCGCATACTCTCGTTGATGACGGCGTCCAAGTATGTGAGTTTGCCGAGCGTTTCGTAAGTTATTTCGCCGTTAGTATTGGCGAGAGCGTCGTTCACCTCCTCGTACAGGCGCTCCTGTACGTCGGGATGTAGGGCCAGCTCGTGGGCGCAAAAGGCCAGGGCGTTGGTCGTGGCCTCGAAGCCGCCGTTGAGCGACGAGAATACCTGCGCAATGATTTCGTCGTCGGTCATCGGTTTGCGGCCGTCAAATGGTTTAGGCGACGGGACCTTCACGTCCGGTGCGGCGGTTGTGGTCTTGGGCTTTGAGACAATCTTCGCGGCCATACCGTCGTCCAGTGGGTTCAGTTCACCGTCATCTTCGTCCTCCTGTTCGCCACCTGTGCAGTGAATTTAGTAATGATAATTATGATGGGTATGAGATGTTCTGGATTTTTGTATAAACTTTACATGTGTGATTAAACATGAGTAAAGTACAGGCTTTGCTTTGCGTACCTGTACTTTACATGCAAGTACAGGTACACACACAACAAACATTAATTGTTACCTTCATGCCCATCGCCCTCGCCGTCCAGCACCTTATCGATAGCGTTACGGCGCATAAGTATGTCCACAAAGTCGTTAAACTGCGAGTTCTTGGCCGCGCCCTCCCGGCCCTCGGCCTCCTTCAGTCGCAACAACTTTCTGGTGATTTGTACGAAATAGTCGATCGCCTGATCGTTGGTCTCCGAGTGTATGTTCAGCCAATTCAAGAGACGCGTGGGAAACAGTAGAGTGACCACAATTTTCCAGAATTTTGGCCGGTAGAGTGACCGGGCGTTCACCACAATGGGATCGGTGGGGTCGGTGTAGGCCTGGGTGGAGGCGCCGAATATGCAGTTAGCTATGACGTCCATCGAATAGCACGCGAACCACCACTTCATGTCGACCACCCGTTGCGGTACGGCTTTTGTTTTGAGCGCCTCCACAAAGCCGTTCATTGATTGGTCCAATAGTTTGAATACTTTGCGCAGTTTGGCCGATGAGAATGTAGGAGTCGCTGTGCTGCGCATGCGCCGCCAGTCGTCGCCACTGGCCTATAATTAATATGTGTAATTCCGTAATTTTAAATTTTAGTTTTTTGATTGGTTTTAAAGTTATGAAGAATATGGATACTTTTTTTAGCTATCTTTTAACAGTATCTATTTATAATTAACAGCGAATGCTCAATATTCTCTATATTGCTTAATTAATTAATATATTATATTGTTTAGGTTGTGATAATGAATAAATTATTACAATATTAATTATGTATAAATTATATAAGTTATGTACAGTACAACTTATGTAGAACTCATGAGTATATTATTTCAATTATGATTACATCAATACTTTACTAAAATGAATGAAATTAAATTAAATTAAAACTATCAATAGTACTAATTCAGTACAATTCTAAATAATAAAACATACAAACCGTAATTCATAATAATTATTATTATTGAATTATAAAATTACTAAAACTATTAAGATTGAGCATTACATTATATAAATCATATTTTTAAAGTAAACTTTGTTGATTCTTTTTTATTAAAAATTTACAAAACAGACATTTATTGAGCATACCTGAGATATAATGAGATCTATCACCGGGTGCTTTGCATTGGAAGTCTCGCGCCGGGTTTGATACACGTTAAACTCTTTAACAAGCACCTTTTTGACGAGTTCCGGGTCGCCGATTCGCAAAATCGGTTTATTGCCTTCAAATACACTATTAATTTATACAACATTAATAAAATATAGTTATAATTTTGACTCACAATTAAAATACAAATAAAACTAAACCATCTTAAATAAATTATTAATTAAATGTCAAGTCTTTTAATATAATTAATTTTTTTAATAATAGAAATGAATATAAAATTTACCCGTATATTTTGCCAAATTTTTTGTATCGCTCAAGCTCTAACTCGGGCATCGAGGTGAAAAATAGCTCCCATAAATTTCCAATGCCTACCCATGGTTTGGGACCCGTAATACCTTGCTTAGTGAAAAAGTCAAAGTTGCGAGTAAAGTACCTGAGTGAAATAAAAATAAAATTGTATAAAATACAGCAAGTTTTATTTTATATATAACAGTATTACCAATATAGTCCAAAAATTATTAAGATTGGGCTAAATATATGCCAAGAATTGGCAAAAATGCTTAACATTTTTGATAATGTTAATTAAATTGTATTAAGACAACTCTTACTTGCTTACTTGCAATTTGCAATAAAACGTTATTATTTTAAATAGGTCTTATTTATACGTTGATTTTCTATTACTAGCTATTATAATAGGTCATAGCAAAAAGTGCTTGTTCATTTTTTTAAATTTATTTGTTTGTGATAATCAGAATTTTATTTAATAAGCACATGTACAATTAAATAATATTTTTATATCATTAAAATACTAATGTACTCATAGCAAATTCACCTTGCTTTATTGCATAGTCAGGCAAATTACAAAATAACAAAAATGATTTAATTATGATTGCGGATTCTGTTATGAAAACGTACAATTAAGTAATAATTTTGAGTTTATTAATGCCTTTAATCACTAACAAATTTGTATATGTACTTTTTGATTAATTTGACAAATATAATATTTAAATTTAAACTAGTGTTAACTACCGTTAAATCTCATAATTAATGTAATTAACTATTAATAATATTATATTTAAAAGAAAGAAAAACATAAATAAATTTAGCGCAAGTTACTAATAGTTATAAGTTTGACATATATACATTTAAATTGATATGATACTTTAATTATAATAAATGATATTTAAAAGTTGTACGTAAATAACAAACCAATTAAGCAATTTTATTTAAATAATACTTTTATTATTTTAAAAAATTTAAGAGAGAGAGAGAAAGTGACTAGGCTGAAAATAGTAAATTTGTTGACGTGTTTGTTACTAACACTAAAGAAGATCATTGATATTTAATTTAACAATAGCATAAAAACATATTTACATTAAATAAGACAATATAGCTAGACAAAAAATAATAACTATTTAGTTAAACTTTATTAAAAAATTAATAGCAAAATATATAAAATAGAACTACAATTTAATAAAATTATTAAGCATGCTTAATGTTATAGAATAAATTAATTATATGTTTAAATAATAGGACGAGAAAAATATTTAATACAAAAAATGAAATGCACATGAGATTTACCTTAATACATTTTAGTTATATTAAAGTCCCTCTCTCGCACACTCACTCACTTTATTTCAGATAAATATTTAAAGTTTTACAATTTTGTAATTGTATTTTTGGCAGCTAACTATAATCGTTATTTTTAGATACGTTGACAACAATAGCATATAATAACAATAAAACGTGTTATGATAAAAATTATGTAAGTTATCTAATTAGTTTAACAGTTTTTATCTACATGTATCTGTATATGATAATTATGTAATTGTTATTAAGGCGTTAGCTACAGTATATTGATATTTTTTAATTTTAAACGTGCAAGTAATTAATTAGATTTTTAATACACAACGGACAATTTATACCTTGTATTTGTTTTTAATAACAACAATTAAAATTATTTTGTAGTTTTCAAAATTAAATATGTTTAGCCGTTTAGATAATATTATTTGCAATTCTATTATTATTAATTTTGTAGTGTTTTAATTTAGTATTATACATTTTCTGTCCATTTATTTAACAATATATCTGATTAAATGTATTTCAAAAAGAATTATATTTAGAATAAATATTTAATTGCATTTGCAGAGAAAAATTAATATTTAACATATAATTTATACTTATTTTATCGCAATAAAAGTTTGTTAAATAACTAAAATAATATTTAGGTAAAAATGAACTATTATTTCTTTTATTATATTTTATAAAATATTTTAACCGATATTAATTTTCTAAAATAGAGTTTTGTATAAAGTATAATATTATAAAAATAATATTTAATTGGTATTCTCTCTTTTCCTCATAAATGTGTCGACTCTT